TATACTTACCCCCTCGTTATAGCGATACTTACTTGTTTCGTATCCTCTTGTCTTACCCTGCTTCCGTATTCGTGACACTAATAGTGTTTGTGTGCGCTCATGCTTGGTTTTACAGATGATGATGACGTATGTATGAAGGTCTGGAGCTAGCTGCCGTCTTCGGGATGTGCCATTTGTTTTCAAAATTATTTGTAAGTACTTGTAACAGGCGTAGTGTAGTAACTGTGTATGCAGTGTAGTAACAGTGTGTAGTGTTTTGTGATGGTCCTGAGCGGTCGTAATGTGTTTTGTGATGGTCCTGAGCGGTCGTAACGTGTTGGGCTACTGAAGTACACTGCATGAAGGGGTATGTGTGGGTGCTTCGACATATTCTCGTGCTTCCTAAACCCTAGATACGTGTATAGCACTATAACCTAGATGTGTGTGTGTGCGTGTGTGCGTGTGTGTGTCCGCGCATGCGTGCGTGTGCGTGCATTGTGTTCTCTTCTACAGACTCATCCAAGTCAATTATTTAAATAAAAGTGTATTATAGTAAACAGTATTGTGTTTTGTTATGGTGAATATGTGGGGAATGGTGGACATGCCTTAGTGTGACTGGATACCCGCGGGTTGTGACTCTTTGCTGGCCACTCTGGATTCTCCAGTATAGATTCGGTACAGTGCAGAGGGGATTTGTGGTGCGTAGCAACACTGCTTCACTGTGACACCCCTTCAATAATTGTTTTAATGCATGATACTCCGGGCGTAGCCGGTTGATTCTTACTGTATCCCGATCAAAATAGAAATATGCATCTAATGTACATGCATGAATAGTTGGCATTTCCCAAATCGGCCGGGCGAAAAATTCGCCGAAAACAGTGGTTTTGAAGAAATTACCCATCTTTTCGCCGAATGTTCAAAAATTCGCATGTTGAATTCCCCGAAAACCGATGTTTCAGTGCTTCAACAGAGTGTATGTAAATGTACATGACGTAATGGGAACGGTGACTTCAAGTACTACGTTGAGCCGAGTTCTGATCTTGGAGCTCAACGAGTGCATGGCACGTGAACTCACTTGTTTGCTGCACATCTACGAAGTGCGAATCAGGGAGTAGTATAATGACACGTGTACTAGTACACCTTGTGTTGCACTGCGTCTTTTCCACACGCAGGGCCACTGAAGGTCACACGCTCCGCGTGCGTATGCACGCATGCGCAATATGTCACTGCATGCAATGCACATCTACGATGTGCAAATCAGGGAATAGTACGTATTTTACTACTCCACGGTGCGAATGCACCGAACGTGCACAAGTGCACGTTCGCCACGGAAAAGAACCTTTATGGCACATTTATGGCATGGCAGGGGTCAAAGGTCAAACTCTGGGGGGTCCCGGGGCCAGACCCAGCACGACCAACACAGTGTGCCTTATTTGGCCCAAAGGTCAAAGGTCAAAAAGTGCACCAGAACCTGCCCCGCACTAACTACTCTTGGTCTGGCCCCGGGACTCCCCCAGGGTTTGACCTTTGACCTTTAGGTTAAATAAGGCACACTGTGTCGGGCGCGCTTGGTCTGGCCCCGGGACTCCCCCAGGGTTTGACCTTTGGCCCTGCCATGCCATAAATGTCATCATGTTCTTTTCCGTGGCGAACGTGCACTTGTGCACGTTCGGTGCATTCGTACCAGGGAGTAGTAAAATACGTACTACTCCCTGATTCGCACATCGTAGATGTGCAGTGACATATTGCGCATGCGCGCATACGCACGCGGAGCGTGCGGCCTTCAGTGGCCCTGCGGAAAAGACGCAGTACAACACAAGGTGTACTGTAGTACACGTTTCATTGTAGTGTGATAGCCGACCTCATATACGCTGTACGGGGAGATTTTTCCTCAGTATGTTGTAGGCAGTGCTGGAGGTGACGTGACGATGGCGGAGCCAAGTGCAAAACGATCCAGGCAGCCCAAACAGCCCACCTCGAGTGCCGTGCGTGGTTTTTTGAAAAAGTTTTCTTTGCCAGGTTCAGGCACTGATCCTCTCGTCTTTTTCAGCAGCCATCATGACGAGCTCAGACAGGTTCTCCTCGAGGAGCTTCAGTCTCACCC